TCGCTGCTCGCGCCCAGACGCTCGGCCTGCCGCAGGAGCAGGGACCAAAGCGTCCAATGTCTCGCCAGGCAGGAGTCACTTTCGAACATATCACGCCCAGCCAGATGGGCGACGACAGCAGCTGGCGCCTCTGCGCAAAAGGTCGTTGGCTTCGTCATGAGAACATCCTGCGTACTGAGGGGCGAGGGGTTGTACTGGGGCTTCGGCATCGTCTACGTTCCCGGGCGTCCCAGGGAGCTCGTCACTTGTTCCTTTGTGATAACATGTCCATGGTGTTGGCCCTCAGCAAGGGCCGGGGATCTACTTCAACAGTCAATCGTACGTGTCAAGAGGTTATTGCACTCAGTTTGTTTGCCAACGTTCACTGTTGTTTCAGATGGATAGCGTCAGAGATAAACCCAGCAGACCGACCGTCGAGAGCGTGGCCATCTCGGCCCGAGCCGCGGGACCCTCGGTCAGATCCACGATCGGCATGGTACCTTGATGCTCACGCGGCCGCCGCCCGCCTCGACCTGGCGCTCGAGGGGGAGATCGACAACCACCTCTTCCGCCAGCCAGGCGGGGCAGAGGCGGCCGGCCTCTGCGGCCTCGGGGACACTTGGCTGGACGAGCCTGCTGCGGCCTTCGGTCGGCGGGTCGAGTCAGCCGAGTCGCCACCAAGTGGAGCTGCCGAGGCGGCGTGGAGCAGCTCTTCAAGCAGCTCAGGCGAGGAGGAGCCGACGTGCGACGCTGAGGCAGACGCAGAGAGAGGCAGCTCAGGAGGCGGCGGCCGCGGGCCTGGGCTACATGCAGGCATCGCGGGCACAGCCGCAGACGGTGGCCTACTACCGGGTCATCCTGAGCGAGTTCGAGAGGTGGGCCGAGGAGCAGGACCTCAAGTTGGAGACGCCGGAGGAGATGGACCAGGCCCTGTCCGCCCACATGGACTCGCTCTTCTTCGAGGGCTACAATCACGATCAAGGAGAGAAGTTGATAGCAGCCGTCAAGTACTACGACGTGCACGGGGCGTACCAGTCCGTGGAGGCGCTGCCCAGGGCCCGCGCAGCCTTGAGAGGCTTTCGCAAGCGGGCCCCCGGCCAGTCGCGGGCACCCCTGCCGCGGCCAGGGCTGGCGGCTCTGGTGGGCGCTGCGCTGTTCTTGGGGATGCAGGAGCTGGCGATGGCCTTGGAGGTGGCGTGGTGCGCCTACCTTCGGCTCCCCAGCGACTTGATCTCCATGACCGGCTCTTCGCTCATTCCGCCCCAGCGGTCCACGGGGGTGTCTCACTGGGCGCTGCTCCTGTACCACGAGGAGAAGCAGCCCAGGAGCAAGACCGGCCAGTGGGACGAGGGCTGCCTGCTGGACAGCGACAGGGTGACGGCGATGGGGCCGCTGCTGCAGGCGCTGGTACGTCGTGCCGGACCGAGTCAGCCGTTGTGGTCCTTCTCAGCCGCGCAATTCCGAGTGCTGTTCCGCAAGGTGGCGCAGTTGGCTGGCCTCCCGGACTTGAACCCCTACCAGGTGCGCCACGGAGCCGCCAGCGCCGACGCCCTCCACCAGAGTCGGGACATGAAGACCATCCAGGAGAGGCTGAGGCACGCTCAAGAGTCGTCAACACGACGGTACAAAAAGCACACGAGGTATCTCCGCGAGTTAGACCAGCTGGCGGCCGACACGAAGCAGTACGGAGACTACGTGGATGCCAACTTCGAGGCGCTGATCAACAAGCGTAAGGCCGTGGCCGCGCCTCCAGGGGCAAAAAGGCCGCGGCGTTGGCCGCCGGCCAGCTCTGGCGCTCAGGAGACACTCTTGCCTCTGCCCTCCAGCTGTCGGCCGCGTCGGTCAGACGCAGGCTCAGGGCCGCGTTAGACCAGGCGCTAGGCCGCCAGCCTCGGAGGGCACAGACTTTTCTGGATCTTTTTGCTGGGACAGGCCGCGTCGGAAAATGGCTGGAGAGGTTGAGCGGATTGCCGGCCCTCCGTCTCGATGTCAAGGCTGACCCTGCTTTTGATCTGTCATCCGACGCAGCTCTTAAAGTAGTCCGAGGTTGGATCGGGAGTCGTGTCGCGCGGGCCGTGCGGCTCGCCCCCCCGTGTTCAACGTGGAGCGTTGCCAGCCGAAACACATTCCGCACGCCTCAGCATATATATGGTCGGCCCGACCTCTCTGACAAAAACGCAGTCAAAGTACAGTTCGGCAATGCAACAGCTCTCTTTTCCGTATGTGTGGTTCGTGCGTGCTTGAAGGCAGGGATCCCAGTGGCCATGGAGAACCCCCAGTCTAGTCTCTTCTGGCAGTGTCCCGCCCTTTTAGATCTCACGCGCCTAGACAATTGTAAAGAGTTTGTCACACACATGTGCCAACATAATCGTGCCTGGAAGAAGCCCACTAAAGTCGCGGGGTGGAATGTAGGGGCTCCGCCTAAAGCACTTTGTAAACGGTGTTCTGGGGTCCTAGGGATGTGCAGTCGCACGCTCCGGCCTCATGTGGCCCTCCAGGGCCGCGGACCCGGGGACCCCAGGAACCTTACCGCCCGGGCCGAAGAGTACCCTGACTCCTTCGCCCGGGGTGCCGCTTCTTTGCTTGTGCAGGCTGCCGACCGAATCCAGCTCAATCATCTCGCGTCTCTGACTTTGTGAGCAAGCTCATGCGGCTTGGCCAGAATAGATTCGGGAAGATGGGAGCGAGCGCGCTCTATTATAAGTTCCGTTCGCAGCAAGCACCAGTGTCGTCCACCCTTGGCAGCCTGCTACCTCTCTGGAAAATCATCTGCGTTGGCAAGCGGGAATTTTCAGAGCAGGGTCCAGTTTCTCAAACGTTAGTGCTCTAAGTTGTAGCGCAGCCGCCTCGATAAACCGATGTGCATCCATGGACATCGGGCTCAAGTGCACCGCCTCCCACCCCTCCTCCTGCTCTCCTTCCTTTCATTATATATGTCGTCAAAGCTGGGGAGCGAGCGCGCTCTATTATAAGTTCCGTTCGCAGCAAGCACCAGTGTCGTCCACCCTTGGCAGCCTGCTACCTCTCTGGAAAATCATCTGCGTTGGCAAGCGGGAATTTTCAGAGCATGTATGTATGTATGGATTGATGTTTATATGTATGTATGCATGTGTGTATGGATGTGTGTATGTACACATGTATGCAGGTGTGTATGTATGCACGTATGCACGCGTTCATGTGTGTAGAGTAATGTAATGGTGTACAGTGAGGCCCCTGAAATAAGGTCCAGCTCGGGTTCGGAAGGGGCTCGGTGGTTCCTTGGTTCTGCTGGCGTTCCCTCGCCATTGCGCCACGAAGTCCCCTGGGCGTTCCTTGGGTCATGGCGCACGCGATCGATTCGCCGAACGGGGCGGACGATCTAAGGAACGGGGCCCCGAACAGGGGCTGGGTTCCATGCGCCGTTGCGAAGATAATGCGCCGCGGGTTCGTTTAGGCCGTTCCTTGCGGCGCGCGTTTTGAGGTTCGCGTGTACAACAACAAAGTAAAAGTGGTCGCGTTAGGGCCCAGTTCCTCGCGCAAGCCCCTCGGTTCCTTGCGCGACGCGGTTTGAGGTTCACGCGCATGCCCAAATATGAAATTTGCAACGTTAGGGCCGAGTTCTTGGCGTTAGCCCTTCGGTTCCTTGCGCGACGCGGTTTGAGGCTCACGCGCATGCCCGCAGCGTTAGGGCCGAGTTCCTGGCGCTAGCCCTTCGGTTCCTTGCGCGGCGCGGTTTGAGGCTCACGCGCAGCCTCCGTCTTCGTGCGAGCCCTTGGGTTCTTTGCGATCGACGCAGTTCCATAAGTGGCTGGGGGGCCTTCGGGACTCTCGTCATCCGAGCGCCCAGCTTGCAACAAACGCGTTGCCGTTCCTTGCGCGTCGCGGTTTGAGGCTCACGCGAATACCCAGACAGAGCAGTGGTCACGTCAAAGCCCAGTTCCTCACGCGAGCCCCTCGGTTCTTTGCGATCGATGCAGGTCCAAAGTTGGCCAGGAGGGCGTCGGGGCTCTCTCCCTCTCTCTCTCTCTCTCTCTCTCTCTCTCTCTTTTTCTCTCTCTCTCTCTCTCTCTCTCTCTCTCTCTCCCACCCGTGCGCCCTTTTTTGATTATGAAAAAAAGGGGGTTCCGTTCCTTATTTTAGCGTTGCTTCTGGCAGGGGGGTGATTGTAACGATGTGTAGTGTAATGTGATGTGATGTAGTGTAGTGTGGTGTAGTGTAGTGTAGCGTAGTGTGGTGACATGTAATGTAAGGTGATTTAAGGGAGTTGCATGTATGTATGTATGTATGTATGGATGTGTGTATGTAGGTGTGTATGTTTGTTTGTTCGCGTATATAGGAATATGTGTGTGCGCATGTGTGTATGCATGTGTGTATGAATGTATGCACCATATATGTACATGTAGACATGTAACTCTGTGTAATGTATTGTAGCGTAATGTAATGGAATGAGATGTAATGGTTTATGATGCGATGTAATATGAGTAATGTATGCATGTGGGTATGTTTGTGTGCATGCTTGTATGTATGTATGCATGTCTGCAAGTGCATGTATATTTGCATGTATACATGCATGTATGCTTGCATATGTGTATGCAATTATGTATGTATGTGTATGTACATGTATGTATTTATGCATGCATAGTAGATGGACGTGTGTGTGTGTATAGTTGTATGATTGTATGTGACGGCCCAGGAGGCCCACAAGACCGCCCCAAGACGGGCCAAGAGGCCCCGAGGAGGGCCCCGGGACAGCCTAACAGGGCTCCATGACCCCAGGGGCGCCCAAGACGGCCCAAGAGGGCTTAAAGACGGCCCCAAGATGGGCTCAAGAGGGGGAGCATGAACCGAAATGTCGAGTCTTTCGCCCCAAGAGGCTCCAGGAGGCCCCGAGAAGACGCCAGGACGGCCTCGGGCAGGCTTCAGTGGGCGCCCGAGGTCCCAGACGAGAACCCAGAGAGGCGAGAATCTGTGATTTCCCATAGGTTTCTCAATGTTTTTGTTGGTCCTCCACTTTTCAAGTTTCCGACGCTCCAAGACGGCCCAAGAGCCCTCCAACATCGTTCGTACATTTTGGCTCTAGTTGGGGCTTCAGCGCCTTCGGGTTAAGATTTTGCTGTGCTTGCGTGTTGATCTAGCGGACTTGACGCTTACCGTTGCCCACAATGGACTCATTCACGAGGCGTGGTTCATGTCAGTGCATCCATGATGACGAATATTTTGAGACCTACCTGAACCCTCACCCATTTCTGACGACTGCAGACGCTCCGCTGCTCCATCGCGCCGCGGGGGCGGCGCCAGTAAATTCGCCAACCTGGCCGCTCAGCATGCTGCCGCGCTCCGCCGCCGATGCGGGGCTCGCCGCAGGCCCTCCCCGCGAGCCAGACCACGCGGCGCGGGCGAGAGAGCCGGCCAGCGGAGGGCGGGCAGGGGCCTCCAGTGGCGCGCCCGCGGTCGCCAGGTCGGCCCTTCGGCAGGCCGAGCTCGTTGACAGCATGCCGGCAGCCATCCTTTGCGCTCCAGCTACCACTACGCTCATGATCCGCAACATTCCGATGTCTGTGGCGCAGAGTGACTTGCTGGACCTCATCGATAAGACTGGTTTCGAGAACCGCTACGACTACGCCTACATGCCGACCATTTTTGACAGTGGGACCACTCGAGGGATCGCATTTGTAAATTTTGCCACCTCAAGTGATGCCCGTGAGTTCTCCATCTTGTGGAACGGATCGCGGCTGGCCGGAGTTGCCGGCGCTGGAACCAACGGTGCCGTGATCGAGGTCACCGTGTCGGAGACGCAGGGCTATTCGGAGAACGCCAGGAAATGGAAGGCGAGCCGGCTGCGCCGCATTAGGAATCCCAAGTTCCACCCCTTCATCGCCCCGAAGCCAGCTGCCTCGTGAACGCGCGGTTGGCAGTTTCATTAGGTCGGGCATGTCCTCCTTCACTCGTCCTATTAGGTCGGGCATCTCCTCCTACAGCCAAGAAATCATCAGAATTGTTCCCCCTTGATGCGATTTTAACTATGTCCAGTGCATCTCGTTGCACCTTCTGTCTTATTTTTTTCGCAGCACACAGTGCTCGCTTGAACCTTGAAAGCGCAAGGCAGCGCACAAATCCTGTGGACGCCTCCAGAGGGCCAGACACAAAGGTGTGCGCTGATGTACGGCTTCGTGAGTTTCCTGAAAGGCTGCATGCAGCTCCCTTACGGGCCCGCTTGCGCCCGCTTGAGGCCCTGATTTCTGATGTGCGGCGGCGGTTGGAGCAACGCCGTTTTCATGGTCCATGCTTCAGGTGGAGGAGGAGGATTGAAACCAATGTTATTTCGGTAGTGGGAGAACGAAGGAGGTCTGACTAAGAGGCGTCATGCTGTGTGCCCCCCGAGCGGCCCGTGCGCTCTGCTCGGGCCTGGGATTGGGGCCCTTCTGCAGGAGATGCGGCGCGCACACCACAGGCAAACAGACACCGAGAAGTGCACTGACTGGAAGTCGTCGCACAGTGATTTCGGCCGCACGTTTCACTTAGTTCATGTGTCTCTGCCTTGTATCCTCTAGATCATGATTTTCCAAGTATTCTCTTATCTGCGAAACCATTGTGAGAGAGCTTCGATGATTCTAAGTGGGAAGCCCCCCGGCCACATGAGCCCAAGGTGATCAATCCGAGGGACCAGGTGCCTCCAGCCTCCGCAGCCGAGTGGAGATTTGGTCGGCAATCCGTGCCCTTCCCGCTTGCTTTGTTTTGCTTTTTCAGCTTCGAAGGTCTTTCGTGTCAGCCTTTGCCCCGCGCCCTCACGCGTGGCTCTGCCCGGTCCCTCCCTGTGCTCAGGGCGTCCCTTCGTCGCCCCAGTTGCCGCGCGTTCAGGGCGTGGCACGGAAATCTCGAGAGGCCAGCGCTCGGCTGCAGCAGGCGCGGCTTTGTTCTGCCAACGACGCAGGGCCGAATCGGGGCACTCGGAACTTTTGCATGGACTCATAGGCGCGTGGCACTCGCCGGCTCTTTTACACTCCTCCAGTTCCAGGACCCCAGGGGCGCCCAAGACGGCCTAAGATACCTTACAGACGGCCCCAAGATGGGCTCAAGAGGAGGAGCATGAAGCGAAATTTTGGGTTCTTCGCCCCCACACCCCTCCCCACCCCTGCTCACACTCCACTCCAATCCTCCCCACTCCATCTCTCCCCACTCCCCCGCATTCGTTTGCATTTGTTTTCGACTCTATCCCACTCCCCATACTCCCCGTCGTTCCACTCTTCCACAAGCCATTTCATCTACATGCCAGTCAACTCCACTCGACTCCACTCTGCTCCTCTCCTCCGCGCCCCTTCCTGCCCAATCGCATTTCTCTCGATCCATCCTCTTGTCATTTCTCCATGCTCTTCCCACCTCTCCTCATTCGTCCCCGTACTCCTCTTGTCCTCACTCCTCCCCACGAATATTCCCAGGGAGATCACATCGTCCAAACGAATCTGAAGCCAATGACGATCTGCACCTTTAAAACCAGCGCTCCCACGCATTCGTTTGCATTTGTTCCCAACCATCCTGTGGTGTTGGGTCCTCGTTTTGAACAGACAGCGCCCGCGTCCTTCCTTCCTCCCGCTGCCCCCCTCCCTCTCCCCGTAATCAGCATCCCCATCATCAGCATCACCGTCACCATGATCATCGTCATCATCATCACCATCATCATCAGCTCGGCACACCCATCACACGGTTCGTGGCCCCATAGGGAGCTCCACCGAAGGCCCCAGTGGCTGCGTCCTCATGCGTCACCGCCACCCCTTACGGCACACCCCTCACACGGTTCGTGGCCCCATAGGGAGCTCCACCGAAGGCCCCAATGGTTGCGTCCTCATGCGCCACCGCCACCCAATTCGGCACACCCTTCACACGGTTAGTGGCCCCATAGGGAAGTCCACCGAAGGCCCCAGCGGCTGCGTCCAGATGCGTCACCGCCACCCATTACGGCACCTCCTCACACGGTCCGTGGCCCCATAGGGAGCTCCACCGAAGGCCCCAATGGTTGCGCCCGCATGCGTCACCGCCACCCATTACGGCACACCCCTCACACGGTTCGTGGCCCCATTTGGAAATTCACCGAAGGCCCCAGTGGCGGCGTCCGCATGCGTCACCGCCAGCCATTATGGCACACCCCTCACACGGCTCGTGGCCCCATAGGGAAGTCCACCGAAGGCCCCAGCGGCTGCGTCCGGATGCGTCACCGCCACCCATTACGGCACACCATTCACACGGTCCGTGGCCCCAGAGGAAGCTTTACCGAAGGCCCCAGTGGCTGCGTCCGCATGCGTCACCCACACCCATGTCGGCACACCCCTCACACGCTCCGGGGCCCCATAGGGAGCTCCACCGAAGGCCTTATGGCACCGCCCGCATGCGTCACCCACGCCCATTTCGGCACACCCCTCACACGTTTCGGGGCGAAGGCCCCGGTGCCACCGCCCGCATGCGTCACCTACGCCCAATTCGGCACAAGGCTCACACGCTTCGTGGCCCCATAGGGTGCTCCACCTCACTCTGGCGCACCCCGAAGGCGCCCCCGCGCGTGCCCGCTCGCACGCGGTGCACTCTGGCGCGCCCCGAAGAGGTCTCCGTGCGTGCCCGCTCGCACGCGACGCACTATGGCGCGGCCCGAAAGCGCCCCCGCGCGTGCCCGCTCGCACGCAGCGCACACTGGCGCGCCCCGAAAGCGCTTCCGCGCGTGCCGTTTCGCACGCGGTGCAGTCTGGCGGTGGGAGAAGCGCCCGGGGGCCTTTCGGAGCGCTTCGGAGCGCCTGGGGAGGCGTCGGAGAGCTTGGGAGCGTTGCGATGGCGCCGTGCTTGCTGTCGTTCGGGCATGCCCATTACGGAGTGTTTTTCGTTTTGAGGGCCCTTAGGATTTAGGGTGTAGGGTTCACTTGACGAACTTGAAGTTGTCAATCCACTGCTCGCGCAAACATCCCACCCACCCACCCGCAACTTGATTTGCAAAATCTCTTAAGACCATGACGGTGGGTACCAAATGGCACTTGGCAACGGCAGCGACGCCGACGACGACAGCGACAACGACGACACCGACGACGTCTCCAACGACTTCGACGACGCCGACAACGACAACGACGACGACGACACCGACGACGACGACGACGACGACGACGACGCCGACGCCAACGACGACGACGGCGATGACAACGACGACGACGATGACGACGCCGACGAAGACGACAACGACGACACCGACGACGACGACGACGTCAACGACGCCGACGACGACGACAACGACGACGACGGTGGCGACGACGACGCCGACGTCGACGACGACGAAGACGGCGCCGACGACGACGACGAAGACGACGACGACGTCGCCAACGAAGACGACGAGGGAGGAGGGAGGACGACGACGGCGACAACGACGACAACGACGACAACGCCGAGGGAGGAGGGAGGACGGCGACGACGCGAACGACGAAGAAGGAGGAAGGACGGCGACGCCGACGACGACAACGACGAGGGAGGAGGGAAGACGACGACGACGACGACGACGACGACGACGACGACGGCGACGAAATAGGAGGGACGACGACGAGACGCCGACGACGGACGACGACGACGACGAGGGAGGAGGAGGAAGGACGACCACGGCGACAACGACGACGGAAACGACCACGACGCCAAAGAGGACGACGACGACGAACACGAGTAAAGACAGAGGATGACGTAGGCGACGACGACGACGACGACGACGACGCGGGAAGAGGGAGGACGGCGACGACGACGACGACGACGACGCAAGGGCGCGCGCGCACGCTTTTGTTGAAAACCTGCGTTGCGAAACCTTACGTTTTTTTAGTTTTGTTGGGACACACGGTTCTGAAATCTTTCCGGAACCGATGGGTTTTGAAGGATTCCGGCATTCGCGCCCGACGACGCGCGCGTCTGCACTTCGTCCCATCTGTTGCAGAGGATTCTCGCGACGGCACACGCGCAAGGGCGTTCGACAGGTTTCGACATGCGCGCGCGAAGCCCGTTTGGTAGTAGTTTGCGAAAATCTTGGCAAACCAATGGTTTTCTTAAGATTCGCAAGAGTTCGCGCGTAAGTTGTTTTAGCAAATCAGCGTTGCGAAACCCCATGTGTTTGTATGTTTTCTTTTCGAAACTCGGTTGCGAAATCCTTCCAACACCGCAGGTTGTTGAAGGATTTCGGCATGCGCGCGCGACGACGCGCGCGCATGCATTTCGTCCCGTCTGTTGCAAGGGATTCTCGAAACACATTAGGTTAGATCAAAAAATGTCCCCGCGTATCGTTTCTCACAAGGGAACCTCAGGGGGGTGGATACCGGTTCCCCTGGGATAGTGTAAATTCATATTTCGGATGGACATGTGGTCATAATCAGATTTGAATTACATACCCTCAAAGGGGGGCGGGCAACGCCGGGGGGTGAGTCTATTCTCTTGTTAGAAAGGAGAATCAACCAGAGCGCGACTTAACATGTCAACATACTGGACGTCTCACACACTGGCGCGGCGCGCACATCCCACCCACCCTAGCAACCCATTACATATCATGCCTCGGAATTCGGGCGCATGCAAGCCATCGGGGAAGGCAGCGTGGATCAGCGAGGGGCAGGAAGGAGCGGCGCGGAGCACGCGGGAGGAACAGCAGGCAGGAGGAGCAGCACAGGAGCGCGCGGCGGCCCTCGGGAGGAGCGCGCGACATCCTTTCGGAATGTCTGGAGGGGGCACTTTCGAGCGGGAGGGGCACGATCCTCGAGCGGGAGGGGCGCGATCCTCGAGCGGGCGCGCATGGGATAAAGGGGGTTCAGGAATTAGCCGCCACGCGGGGGTAGCAGAATACGCGCTGCGACATCGTTTCGGAGTGTCTGGACGGGGTGCATCCCCGAGCAGGAGGGGCACGATCCTCGAGCGGGCACGCGCGGGATGAAGTTTAGGAATTAGCGGCCACGCGGGATCGGGCGCGATCCTCGAACGGCAGGGGCGCGATCCTCGGGCGGGCACGCGTGGAATGAACGGGTTGGGAGTTGGCCGCCGCGCGGGAGGGGCGCGATCCTTGAGCGAGAGGGGCGCGATCTTCGAGCGCGCACGCATGGGATAGGGGGTTTAGGAACTAGCTCCCATGCGGGAGGGGCAGAATCCGTGCGCGGGCACGCATGAGGTGTGAGTTTAAGAATTAACCCCCCAGGGCAGAGGGGCGCGATCCTCGAGCCGGCGCACATGGGATAGGGGAGGTTCAGGAATTCGCAGCCACGCGGGGGGGCAGATTCCGCGCGCGGGCACGCATGGAATGGAAGTTTAGGAATTAGCCCCCCAGGTCGGACA